CTTTTTGACATCCTCTTTCATCTTCTCAACCTTTGAAGATACATCTTCCCCAAGAACCCACTTAGGTCCTCAGTTCTCTCACCCCTCTGTCCACACACCTCTGATTCCATTTCCAAAAGGAACTCTCACGACACCACGCCACTTCTGTTTTCAGAATTCATAGTAACTCTGTTAGGACACCTCTTCCTTCTCCACAAGTCTTCCTTCAGAGCAAAATCACAGCACCTCTGTCAGCTGGATACACATGAAGTGCCTCACACCCCCTTCTCATTGGTTGGAGGCAAAGTCACTACACAGAAATAATAACGATCCTCATAGTCACAGCTTTCCCCAAACCATTCCATCAGCCCTTCCCTCTCACTCTGAGACCTGCTTCAACAATTACTAGACAGTTCAGAGTCAGTGGCCCCTCTTGGGACAGACTTTTTCAGTTGATTGTGTATGATAACCCGAGAAATGAACCCCCTGAATGAGACAGGGGGAAAAATACAGAAAGACAAGAAACATAGAAAGACAGGTAAAATGGGGGATGGGTTGGAATTATATTCTTGCTTGAAGCTCTGTCACCCTTATGAAGAATCTTCTCCTCTTCTCTCATACACAACTGATTAGGCCATACATGTGTCCCCTCTATACTGTATTAGCAGCAGATGATCCTACTTAAAAACACAATCAATGATGTATCATATATTTAAACATATGTAAATTCACTTTTCTCATAAAGCAAAATGCCCCTGCCTGTCCTTGAGGAACTTCATAATTGAGTTACAAATATTTGGAGGCAGAGATCATGAAACCAGCCCCAGTTCTTCTTTTTTCTCTTTTCCAGGCCAAACTTGGCCAGATTCTTTAATGGCCCTATGTTAGTCAGCCCTCCACCACTATAACAAAATACCTGAGATAATAGACAACTTATTAAGAGCAAAATTTTTAATTTGACTCACATTTTTTAAAGTTTTGAGCAATTGGCCCTATTGTTCTGGACCCAGAGTGAGGCAGTACCTCATGGTGGGAGTACACTGTGGAGCAAAACTACTCACCTTGTGGCCTGGAAGCAAAAGAGAGGAAGAGGAAGGGGCTCAAGTTTCACTGTCCCCTTCAATGTGGTACATCCCCAGCGACCTAAAGAACTCCCACAAGGCCTCACCTCCTAGAGGCCCGATGAACTCCCAATAGCACTTCCCTGGGGACTGTGTTTTTAACACATGGGCCTTTTGGGGGACACTCAAGGTCCAAACTATAACAGGTTCCCAAATGACAAGCATTTGAATTATTTTTACTATTGTTTCCCATTTTTCCTTTATGCCACTGTCCGGGTGGTGTTAAAATCTTAAAAATCTGTGTCTGACTATGTAAGACTTCTGCTAGGGACAAAGTAGGATATGGGAGGAGATACACAGCACCTTCCTTATTGTAGATCTGTTGCTTATGTTAATAAGTTGTTTGGCAAGCACTTAAACTACTGGTTCTTAGCCAACTGATAGGCAAACCCATAGATAAAAGGTCTTTTTTTTTAAAAAAAAAAGAATTTTTATTTATGTTTTTAATTTTTTTTAGAGAGAGGGAGAGAGAGAGAATTTTTTAATATTTATTTTTTAGTTCTCGGTGGACACAACATCTTTGTTGGTATGTGGTGCTGAGGATCGAACCCGGGCTGCACGCATGCCAGGCGAGCGCGCTACCGCTTGAGCCACATCCCCAGCCCCAATAAAAGGTCTTTTGCTCCATATCTTTTTCTTTTTTATCCTACTTACTACCAAATGCCAAGGCAGGAAAAATGTATTGTCCTTTTGTACTTCTCTTTTTCTCATCTTTAAGTGGAGACATTTGTATGCTCATCTTCCTCCTTCAGATCTTACTCATACTCTTGGTATCAGCCATCACACCCCAGAAAACTCTAGTCTATAGACTCCAACTTCACTTGAGGATGTGTGCCGAGTTCATCCATCTAGATGTTCCAACACTTGCTCCTAATCATTTTGTTGGGAACATTTTTTTTCTCTGAATACAATCAATCAAGAAACATAAGAAAAAGTGTTCATCATCTCTAGTAATTAAAAAATGCAAATCAAAACTACTCTAAAATTTCTTCTCACTCCAGTCAGAATGGCAATTATCAAGAATACAAGCAACAAAAAGTGTTGACAAGAATGTGGGAGAAAAGGTGCACTCATACATTGCTGGTGGGACTGTGAATTGGTGCAACCACTATGGAGAGCAGCATGGAGATACCCCAGAAAATTTGGAATGGATCCACCATTTGACCCAGTTATCCCACTTCTGAGTTTATACCCAACTAAATTAATTCTTGATTTTAGTGACTTGAGTCTTTTTTTTTCCCTTGAACTGTCTAGTCATAGGTTTATCAATATATGGAGCCTTTTAAAGAACCAATGCTTGGTTTTGTTAATTTTCTCTATCGTTGGTCCATTTTTTAATTTCATTTAGGTTTGCTCTTACTATTAAACTTAGGTTGCTTTGATTTGGATGTGGTTTGTGTCCTGCGGTTGGTGGGCTTGAGGATTAGTCCCCAGTCAGGTGGGGGCCTCATAGGAAATGGTGAGTCCAGTGAGGCCATTGCTCTCTGGACGTCTCATTGAGTGAGTTCTTATGAGGGTGAGTTTTTATTTAAAAAAGCCAGACTGGCCCCTCCATGGCCTCTGGCTTCCTGTGTCTCACCAGGTGGTCCCTTCTCCACACAGCCAGCTCCCTTTCCATTTCTCCACCATTTTTTGATATAGTCAAGGGGGCCTTCACCAGAGGAAGAACAGAAAAGGCTGACAACCTTGAGCTGTCAGCCTCCAAAACTAGGAGCTAAATATCTCTCTTTATAACGTGCCCAGCCTCAGATGTTTGTTATAACAACAGATAAAAGGTATAACACATGGGTTTGCTTGGCTCTTCTAACTTTTTAAGAATGGAACTTAGATCTTTGACTTTTAGAGTTTCCTCTTTTCTAACATGTAAAGCTATAAATCGTCTTCTACTTACATTCACACAGATTTTGACATAATGTGTTTTCAGGTTCATTCAGTTTTAAGTATTTCTAATTTTCCTCCTAACTTTTATTTAGATAAATTTTAACACAGGTGCTATTTCTAAGTGTGATTATTAATTTCCAAACATTTGGGATTTTTTTCAGATATTTGTCTGTTATTGGTTTCTAATTTAATTCTGTTGTGGTCAGAGAATGTATTCTATGTTTTCAACATTTCTAAGTTTATTGACTATTTTTTTTTATACTAGGGATTGAACCCAGGGGTTTTTACCACTGAGCTATATGTCCAGCCCATTTAATTTTTTATATTGAGATAGGGTCTTGCTAAGTTGCTGAGGGTCCCAATAAGTTGCCCAAGCTGGCCTCAAACTTGAGATGCTCCTACCTCAGTTTCCTGAGTTGCTGGGATCATAGGCTTATCAACTTTTTTTTTATGATCCAGTATATGGCGTACCATGTGGAAGGTTTTATGTGCACTTGAAAATAATGTGTATTCTCCTGTTATTGAATGGAATAATCTGTTGATGTCAATTAGATCACATTGGTTGGTTGATAGTGCTCAAACCTTCCATATTCTTAGTGATTTTTTTGTTTATTTATTGGGAGAATAATGATGGAATATTAAAATATAATGGGATTTTCCTATTTCTGCTTTCATATTTATCATGTATGTGTCATGAGCCTTGAGGTTTTTATTTAGATATATGCACATTTAGGATTATTATATGTTCTTGGTGAATGTATCCTTTTGTCATCATGAACTGTCCTTCTTTATCCATGGTGATATTCCTTATTCTGAAATACTATATTTCTGACATTAGTATAGCCACCAATATTCTCATGGTTAGCATTATTTTCCCACTCCTTTTTTAAAACCTATCTTTGTCTTCTTATTTAAATAAATATCACATAATCACTATACAGTTGGCCTATAATTTTTGTGTGTGCATTCTGACCATCTTTGTCCTTTATTAGAGCATTTAGATTTTGCACAATTTAATTCAATTAAGACTATGGTTATATTCAATGGTACCATCTTACAATTTCTCTGTTTTCCCTCTTTCACTTATTTGTTTTGGGATTAATTTCTATTCCATTTTATTTTCTCCATTGATTCATTAGTTATATCTCTTTTTAGTAGTTGCTATGGTATTTAAAATATTCATCTTTAAATTAATACATCCTACTTTCAAATACTGGTGTGCTGCTCTACAGAGCACAACACTGCCCTTCCATTTCCTCCTCTTATTTTATGTGCTGTTGTTGTCATACTTTTTATTTCTAGGTATGTTATAAACTCCCACATATATTAGTAATTCTTTTTCAAAAATTTAAAATGAGAAATAGAAAACTTTTATGTTTATCTGCAGTTTTACTATTCTTTTTCCACATTATCATCTAGAAAATATTCCCTAAAGAAACAAAATCCTTGTTCAAATAAGGATTTTTTTTTTCTTCGTGATCAGCCCTGGTCTTCTCAAATCCTTGATTGTAGACTCTGCTGATTATAATCTAAGCTCTCCTTCATGGAGTGACTATAGTAGGTAGAAATTGGAATGAATGAGGGCATGTTTTTATTTTATTTCTTGTCTCTTAGTTTATTGTATGAAAATCCTTCTCCATGGAAAATCACTATAGTTAGAATCTAGCCATGGGAAAGAAGCTCAGGGGTTGTGTGTGAGTGCACCCCAGATCTCCCTGAAATCCTGATCCAGACTGACCAAATCTCTTCCCTTGGAGCCTGCAATTTTCAAACTATATCCAAACAAATCTTCATCCAAGTAAAATTTTCCCCAATTCACTTTCTCCACCTTACCCTATCCTGTAGTTAGGGAATAACCCAAAGCTAAATCAGTATTCTCAGACCCTTCTACCCAGGTGAGGTTAGACCTTCAGTAACTACTACATCCATAACCCAACTCAAAACCACATTTTCATAAAATATTAGACATATGTAGCCTGGTCCAAGGTTTCCAGCAAGAAAACTCAAAAGTATCCCAGCTCTGAAACATCAAAGAGTTTATTGATCTTGAGATAGTCACAGGAAGTAGGCAGTGAAGGGTTTTTCAAAGGAGACCAGAGGACATGGAGCCCACTGAAGAGATCATCTCCATGTCAGTGCTACAAAAATCTCAACATATATTCATCACCTTCTATTTACCGGGAACTTCACTAAGGGCTAAGTGCTTTAGGGCCACAAACAAGAATTTGAGGGTCAGCAAGAAAGTCCATCAGTGGTGAAGTGAGCACAGGAATTGAGAAGGAAAGCTGAGWCTAGCATCCATAGGGCAGCTGGAATTCAGATCTCTCCGAAGTCCTCTGCTTTTCAGGAATTTTGTCACCTGCAGCAAGACACACACAGTTCCTGACATCCTTGGGTTCAGGACTCTAAGCTCAGACCCAACTTCCCCATTCCCTTTATACCTCCCCTTCCTCTACTCTGTTCAGGGAGAAAGTGGTCATCGCTGCACATGCCCTGGTCCTGCAGGTGAGCAGCAGTTAGGAGACAAGGAGTACTCCTGGGTGACTGAATTTAATCCCTAAGCCCCAGCTGAGTTTGGTGGCATCCAATATGCTTCAGGTTACCAAAATATCCCAAGGAGAAGGACCACATTACTGAGGCCAGAGAAGCTCAACTCTGGAATGATGGCAATGAAGGAAGGATCATTGCTCACACTGTGGGAAACTTCTCTTTAAACAGTTTCAAAACGAACCACTGTATATTTTCTAATATGACTCCCGTGGAGCACCTAAAACTACTCCATATTTCCTTCTTCCTGAAATTCTTTACTTCCTTAGCTTATGTGATAACTTTCTTCTCATTCTTCTGCCTCTATGGTTTTCCCCCTGTGCTTTGTAAACTTCTCTTTTGATATTTTGTGAGTTATGTATTTTTGGGTGTAGCATTAGTTGAATTTGCTGTACGTCTATTTGGATTGTATATTGGTTTGTGTATTTTTGCTTTGATTCTTAGTAACTTATCATGTTATGGAATTCATTCGCATTGAACACAAACTATAAATAAAAATAAATAAATAACTGAAACAGAAAAAAAAGACTAAGTGTTTAATTGAAATAAGAAGAAACAAGGCCCATATTAAAGACATTTAAAAATTCTACTGAAATCTATAAGAAAATATTTGAATAAATTATGATGTATTATATGCTTTTCAAATAAAATAATTTAATGTTTTAAAGATGCCAAATTTTCCCCCAGATTAATCTATAACTTCAATGCTAATGCAGTAAAAATTCCTGTGAAAATTTTGGAGACATTTGATAAACTTAATTTAAAACCTATATACAAGCCAGGCATGGTGGCACATGCCTATAATTCTAGAGGCTCGGGAGCCTGAGGCAGGAGAATCGTAAGTTCAAAGCCAGCCTCACAATTTAGTGAGGACCTAGTCAACTCAGCAAGACGCTGTCTCTAAATAAAATATGAAAAAGGGCTGGTGATGTGGTTCAGTGGTTAAAAGCCCCTGGGCTCAATCCTTGGTACCAAAAAGAAAAGAAAACCTATATGCCAACTGTGCATAGTGGCCCATGCCTGTAGTTCCAGTTCTCTGGGAGGTAGAAGGAGAAAATTTGCTTGAGTGCATGAGTTTGAGACCACCCTGGGTAACCTAGGAGGACTTCGCCTCAGAGTAAAATCTGATGTGCAATAAAAAAAAAAAAGTGTTTTTACAAAGAAAATTAAAAGGGAGGGAGTTTGTCCTACCAAATGTTAACACACATTACAGTGTCATAGTAATTAAAACATTAGGACTCTGTCACATAAAAGGCAAATAAAACAACGGAATAAAATAGAGCTCAGCACAAACCCCATGGGAACTTGCAATATGATAAAGGGGACAGCGCAAACTTATTATGGAGAAAAGTTGTTGGGAAACGTGCTTACCATATAGAGAAAAATAAAAGTCCTCATCAAAAACAAAGGGGATCCCAGATTAATTTAAAAACTAAATGTGAAATTTAAAATATAGAAGCTATTTTAAAACTACCCAAAACCTCAGTATGGGGAACACTTTTTTGTGTGTGGTGCTGGGGATTGAACCCAGGGTCTTCTACATGCAAGGCAAGCACTCTACCAAATGAGCTATTCCCCAGCCCCAGCAACACTTCTTTAAAAAAAAAAAAACAAGGGCTGGGGATGTGGCTCAAGCGGTAGTGCGCTCGCCTGGCATGCGTGCGGCCCGGGTTCGATCCTCAGCACCACATACCAACAAAGATGTTGTGTCCGCTGAGAACTAAAAAATAAATATTAAAAATTCTCTCTCTCTCTCTCTCCTCTCTCACTCTCTCTTTAAAAAAAAAACAACACTAAAAAAGTACTGATGGATTTGATTATAACATATTAAGGATTTCTGTTCAATGAAAGAAGTCAAGGAGGAAGTTAGCAAATTCAGATTAGGGGAGGAAATTTTGCAATTTTTTAAAAACTGATAGGAACTACTAGCAGGACTATAGAAAGATCTCCTGCAAATCAATAACAAAAAGCCAACAGGACCAAAGTGGACAAAGGATGTGAACCAGCATTTTATAGAATAGGGGCTAACAAGCATTTAAGAGTCCCAATTAGAAGTAATTAGATACACATATTCCTTCATGCACCTAAATGGGCCAAAATTAGAAAACTGGATAATGTACAATGTTGTTATGGATTTACAGCTGCAGAAAATTTCTGATACTACTAAAGGAAATACAAATTAGTACAGCCATTCTGATGAGTGAGTAGAAATTACTTATTCAGGTAAAGGAGTTCCATCTCCAATAACCTTGCAAACCCTTTCTAGGGTAGATATACTGCAGAGATGCAGGTTCATAAAATACAAGTAACACTGGGTGCAGTGGTGCATGTTTAAAATCCCAGCAACAATGGAGGCTGAGGCAGGAGGATCGAAATTTTGAGGCCAGCCTCAGCAACTTACCGAGTCCCTATCTCAAAATAAAAGAAATAAAAAAGTCTGGGGATGTGGCTCAGTGATAAAGTTCCCCTGGGTTCAATCCCAGAATGAAAGAGAGGGAAGGGAGAGAGGGAAGGAGGGAGTGGGGGAAAGAAAGAAAATAATACCAGTATTGCTTGCCATTGTACAAACCAGAGATAATCAAGGTATCCCAGAAGAAATACGGAAAGGCAATGTACAGAATAGAACACTATTGAACAGGTGGAAGCAATGGACTAGATGTACAAAGTTAAATGTGCAATATAATGTCACTTGGTTAATTTAAAAAATGAGTATACACCGAATAGTACTCTGTTATACAGAATATACAAAAGTAAAAGGAAACTCATTGAATCCATCACAATGTTCAACCTATGGGTAGGGATAAAAGGTCAGATATGAGAGTGAGGACTGAAGGTACAAACAAAGAGAGAGCGAGCTTAGAGGTACCCATGATGGCAGTGTGTGTGAACTGAGCAGTAGAGTAGCTTAACCCTTTGCACCTGGGGTTCGGAATAAACAATAATGATAAGGCATTATGTGTGGTCACCATCAAGGAAATATCACTATTTAATGAAAAGAGAATTACAAAAATAGATAAGTTCATAAAACATGGAAAGAGTCGTGATAAATTAAAAACTATGAATCCCAGGAGGGGAATTTTTATATGAACTTTGCCACCCTGTGAGTCCAAGTAGAGAGAAGGTCATTAGGCACTGATCACACCATGTTGTAATTACGTGTAGGAATATGGATCCTGCTCCACTACTAGACCAAATTGGGACTTTGTTTATTTCCTCATTAAAAAGGAAATATTAGGCAGTTATTAAGCTGACAGCTTTGAATCCAGGCTTCCAGGATTTGAATGCTAGCTTTCACAATTTCCTAGCTGTGTGACCCTGGTCAGTTGCTTAATTCCCTGTGTATATGAGAACATGTGAGTACTTCTCAGGGATTAAGTGATGACAGTAATACCTACCTCATAAGAGTATTTGTGAGGATGAAATGAGTTTAAAAATGTAAGTGCCTGAGCATATTAAGTACTCCATAAACTGTCAATGTCATACAGCTGGATGCTTTTGAGAGATCAATGTACACCTGATCAATTGACCTGTCCCTCCTTCCTTACATACAACAGAGAGTAGGCTCCCTCCCCTTTTCTTCTCACTGTATCCTAAGAGTCCCCACCACCACAGTCACTCACAGGGGTCCCCTGGCCCGGGGATCACGACTGGAACGCAGAGCCCTTGTGATGAGCACCGTGCCTGTAATGATGCCCACCAGGCCCACCACCAGGCCCAGGGCACAGACCACAGTCTCTGACACTTCTGTCATCTGGACCAGCTTCTGGACCTCTGGGGAGAGATGATTTGGAGTCAGGATGTGCATGAAGGTGGGGCTGGTCTGGGGCGTGTTGAAGGTTATAGACCATTTGGTGGCCTGGGAGGGTAAGAGGGGTAGTGGGTTGTGCACCAGGTCCTGGGGGAGAGGGTGCATGGAGGGTGTGGAGGGGAAAGAGGCTCCCTACCCCAGTGGTTGAGGCGCGGCTCCTCCAGGCCCCAGTGCTCCACCTTGCAGTCATAGACGTCCTCAGCGGAGGGCACGAAGGTCAGGTAGTGGAACCTGTGGTAACTGTAATCTGTTCTGGGCAGGAAGACAGWCTCAGAAACACCCTCGGTGACAGGCTGCCCGTTGCGCAGCCACGTGACATTGAGCACTGGAGGGAAGAATCTGTCCACGTGGCAGATGAGGGTGTTGGGCTGGCCCAGCTCCACAGGCTCCTTGGGAAACACGGTCACCTCGGGAGGCTCTGGGAGGAGACAGAACCTGGTGAGTGCCCAGTTTTTGTGTGGATCACAAAGGTTTTCCCCAGGGGAGTGTCATCTACCTCAGGCTCAGACTTTGTGACATCTCTGGGCTCCTGAATCCGAGCCAGGAGTCTCATCCCACTGGCCAGCCTCACTCAGCTGACCTTCCTGTGCAGTGGGAAGGGGCGAGGCAGCCCTCCACTATGCTGGAATGAGCCCATAGCCTCGGGGAGAGGGTCCCTCAGCTGTGGGCATCTGGGTCTCCCATTCTGTGTGGCAGAGGGGCCCCCCACCCCTTCCCAGTGGGTGAAGAAGCAAAGACAGGCAGTACCGCTGGCGGCCTGGGTGTGATTGGAGCGCTTTATCATGATATCCAGGTTTGACTTTAATACAGCAATGTCAGCCAGCCCGCCCTGAGAATCAAAGGAAAAGACTTGGCCAAACTCTGGCAGACGCCAGATGGTCTCCTTCTTGTCCCGATCCACGTAGAACTGCTCATCCTCATCCAACTCAAACATATACTCTCCTGTTGGTGCATGTGTCTGTGCAAATGTGGCATAGATTGACACATGGTCCGCTGTGTAAAGAAAATAGAGAAAATGAGACAAAATGTAAAAATGAATATGTACATGGTGGAGATATGAGAATGAATAAAGTTTTATTAATATAGAAACCCAGAGGGAAGAGGTCAAAGAAAGCATCTATGGAGGAAGAAGGAGTAACACAGAAAAAAGACAGAACATGAGGTAGACAAGAGCAGTTATAAAAGGAAATGGGGAACAAAATGAGAAAAGTATTAGAGAGAAATTTAGCTGCTTCCTAGTGATGTAACATCCTGAGCATCCTGACCCTGCAGAATTTTGAATAAGAACAATAACAAGGAACATTCTTTGAGTACTTACTATGGTCTAGGCATCATTCTAAATAGTTTATATATTTTACTTGCGTAATGGTTACAAGTATGAATCACATACATAAAGTACTATTTTTATGGATAAGGAAATACAGAGAGATTCAGCAACTTGCTTAAGGTCACACAGCTATATGCAACTAGTAGAGAGATTTTATCTCTCCACATAAGCTCTCAATTCTTCACAGATGTAAAACTATTTTTAGAGTCTTGGGGATAGAAGAGCAGGAGTATTATTTTTCTTATTAAAGAAAAGGAAGAAAAAAATTAAAAAATTGAGAGAGAGAAGGAAACATTCTTCAAATAGTACTGCTCCTTATAGTCTTTAAATTTCTGTTTTGGTTCATGAACATGAAACTGCAGTTTATATAGATTTGTTCATATTTGTCATATTAGGCATATTAAACACAAACTAGAGTACAGATATTTTGACATAGGTTTCAAACTTCCTGTTTTAATTTTAGTTTTTAGTTTCATGTTAAATGGAACTCAAGTGTTGCTGTGTTTGAAATACCTGTAGGATTTAACTTTTTATTTGCTAGTTTTGTTTACTTTATAATAAAAAGCAAAGACATGAGAACAAAAGAAACTATCATCATCCAACACAGCAATGAATATGAGAGAGATTGTGGGCTTAGAATGACAGAGGAGAAAGAGAGAAAAGGGGTGTCAGGGCTGAGCTCTTCTAACCTCCCAACTCGTGGGTTTCCCTGGGAGTTTGCAGCCCCAACATGCGGAGACCCTGTATGTGCTTGGACACTCACAGTGACAGTGAGGATTCTTATGTTCCTCCTCAGACAGAGACAGCACCCTCCAAAAATTATTGAGCACTAGTTTGTTCCTTTTTAATTAACATTTTCACAAATTCTAGGGTTTGAAGATCAGCCAAGGGCTGGGGCTTCGGCGCAGCAGTAGCGCACTTGCCTGGCATGTGTGAGGCACTGAGTTTGATTCTCAGCACCACATATGAATAAATGAATAAATAAAAGTCTATCAACAACTTAAAAATATTTTTTAAAATGATCAGCCAAATATGAGACAAATTATTTTCCTTGAAATGTTATTTTCTTTCAAACAAGAAAGGTTTAAAAAGCCAACTATATGACAAACACTGTTAGAGAATTAATATTAAAATAAAAATAAAGATACAGTTTCTATCCTCAAGACACAATCCACTGAAGGAGGCAGACAGGAGAAAAGACATAGCAAGGACAGTGTGGTAAGTGCATGAATACTGGTGTGCACAAGATGCCATCAAATAAGGCACAGGGAGGGCCTCCTCAAGGGCAGATGGCTTGAATTTACAGAGTCAGAAAACAGTGGAAAAGTCACTCCTCGCACACAGAGAAGAGTGTTCTAAGGTATAGATCTGCTGAGACACAGGATGCATTTGGAGAACTAGAGATGTTTTGGTGCACTGGAGTTGACTGCAGCTGTAGCAGGAGAGGAGAAGAAACAGGCTGAGGTTAGATCATGACAGAACTTACACACGAAAGTTTGGGAGTTTAACATTATCCTGGAAGTCCCAAAAAATTATTGCATGCTATTGTGTCTCCAGCTTCTAGTATATACCTTGCCATGTAGTAGGTGCTTAAGCTAGGTAGAGATCACCATCAGAGATCAGACAGCAGCAAGGCTGGTGGTGCACACCTGTAATCCCAGCAGCTTTGGAGGCTGAGTCAGGAGGATCTAAAGTTCAAGGCCAGCCCCAACAATTTATCAAGGCCCTAAGCAATTTAGCAAGACTCTATCTCAAAATAAAAAATAAAAAGGCTGGGGATATGGCTCAGTTAACTCAGGCTAAATGCCCCTGAGTTCAATCCCCAGTACAAAAAAAAGAAGAGAGAGAGAGAGAGAGAGACTGACTAATATCCATCAATTTTTTTAAGTCTTCAAACCTTTATAAAGATATGTTCATTATGGTGTTTATTATAGCACAACATTGATAATAACCAAGTGGCCATAAACTTGGTTATAGGTGTTTCTATTTCCCTGTAGTCTCACCTCCTCTTCACTTCTACACAACTCTGGACCCCTTTACCCTACATTAAACCGTGTGGTCCATTGTGCTTCTTTATGTTATAAATTCTAATCCTTAACATCACTACATTTTGGATGACAATATCATGCACAGGTCTGATGTTCCCTGATGCCAGCAGCAGGAGTGAGAGCATTCATCATAATGTATAATCTCCAGTTGAGACCTTGTGGTTATCCAAAGTCTACACCTCTCAAAGCAGCAATAGTCCCCTGGGTCACTTGGGACCCAAATCTCAAGGTTAACAAAATCAGGGAACACTGCTGTCTTGAGAGAAGAAGTCATGAACCACCCACAGAGATCCTGGGAGATCTTGGGAGACAGGGAGGAATACTCTCCCAGGCTCCGACACACAGAGCCCAGAGCCTCTCAAAATCAGCCACACAAAGCAGAAGCTGGCAATTCAGCAATAAGAGGTGCAAGGTCCCAGCAGGGTTCAGTTAGAAAGTCACTGTGTACAGAAGTCTAGGGAATGTGGCATATAGTCTGCCTTTAAACTTTGGCTCTCAGACTTGTTGCATAACCTGGAAAAAAGCTTCACTTTGTTCATCTCAAAAAGAAAATACATTAATCTCTTTGAGCCTCAGTTCCTTCATCTCAAAAAGTTCAATGAAGAATAATGTATCTTTATTGATTTCTTTGAAGTGTGAGGGGGGAAAGAAGCTAAATAGGTGTAGGAAGTGGTGGCTGCTGTTGCCATTGTGATCCTTACAGCAAGAGGGAACAAAGGTGAACATCACTCAAGGGAATAAAGAGAGAAGGACGCAGAGAAAAATAAATAGGACCCTAAAATCTCCAAATCTTGAGGCAGTTAGCAGGTTGCCAGCCCCCAGCTCTCATCCACCCTCTCACACTTCCTGAGCACTCACCCTTGATGGCCCCAGCTCCTGGGAGACTCAGCAGGAAAGCCAGGGAGAGGGCTCTCAGGAGCACAGCTCTGGTCTGGAACATCCTCTCCTCAGGCACACCTTGTGGGGTCCACAACCGACGACAGTGAGCACAGGAAGAGTACTGAGGGACTGAGACAGAAGGAGACAGACAAGAGCTCTGAAACTGTGGGCTTCTATAGACGGAAAACAGCCTAAAAGGGTGGAGAGGGATGAGCACAGCTGGGCTTAACCAATCAGAGACCTGGTGGAACTGACTCTCCCTGTTGCCAGGTAAAGAGAGACTGCAAGGGGCTCAGGAGGAGGTGAAGGACTTCAGGAGCCAGCAGGGCCAAGGGAGAGCCCATTCAGAGTTGATTGTCAGAGTGAGGCTTGAAAAGATAAGTCGTACATTCTTCTGCTGGCAAATATATTAAGTTCTGGCATATGATAGAATTGTCCTCCAGCATTCTCCTACCCATACCCATCCCAGAGATCCAGATTATTTTTGATATTTTCCCACCAGTTTTTTTCCTGAATGATGTTTAAAGTTAGTTCATCAAATTTACAAAAATGTTCTGCTATGATTTAGAAATAAATGCACTCTCTAATAAAAATAATCTTTCTTTCAGGCCACCTGAGATGTCGTTCTTTAATGTTTTATGTAGAAGTTTTATAGTTTCTATTTAGAGGTTTAAATTAACTTGAATAAAGCTGATCTTTAAGTATTTTCTATGCCTGGTTACCTTTGTTAATGAAATTTCTAATAATCTTTGAATCCAGGTTTCTAATTATTTGAGTTTTCCTGTGAGAAAGCTGTCTGAAGTCATTTTTCTCCTTTAAATTACTATTCATTTTATTTCATTTTTCACATAGGAATACTAGCACTGTACTAGTAACAATGGCTCCTTGTTTTCAATTTACTTTTTAAGAGAAATTTCTCTAATGTTTTCCTGTTACATGTAATGGTAATGTTGTTGTTTTACTTTTTTTTTTTTACCATATTTAAGAAACTGCTCTTCTAGTCTTACTTTAAAGATTTTTATTTTGAAGTATTTCTCTAGTATTCACAGGTAAGATTATAAAGCATTTAATATTTAATGTAATAATGAAGCATATCAATATTTTTACTATTTTGTGGTACCCAAATGATAAGTAGGTATTAACAGATTAGTAAGGAGAGATACCATTTTTAGAGCTTCACAAGTATTATCCTATTTAATCTTCACATCAAACCTATATTACTAATGTCCACTGAAACACTGAGGAGCTATTTATCTAATCATCTGTAGCAGATAAGTGACAAAGAGGAGACCCACCCGAGCACTTTTACTGAAGAACCTGAGCTTTAATTCCACAATTCTATGTTGACTTCTCATTCTTATGTAATTATTTTCTTCTCTTGCATTTTATATGCTAGTATTTCATTTATGATTTATGTTTATTATTAATTATTTTATAGATCATATATTACATATTATATTAATTACATATTATTATTTATTCAGCATTTAATTTTTATATCTATTTAAAGAAATTGTTCCAGCTTGACATTTTTTACCAGAATTTGTGGTCCAACAGAATCACATTTATAAGTTTATAAAGTAGACAGTGATGTTCTTTAAAGTTTGTAAAAATTTCTCAATAAACAACATAATCAGGGGCTGGGGTTGTGGCTCAGCAGTAGAGTGCTTGCCTCAAACATGCAAGGCCCTGGGTTCCATCCTCAGCACCACATAAAGTAAATAAATAAAATAAAGGCATTGTGTCCAACTACAACTAAAAAAATAGATATATTTTAATTGCTTTTATTTTTTAAATACATGACAGCAGAATGCATTACAATTCTTATTACACATATAGAGCACAATTTTTCATATCTCTGTATATAAAGTATGTTCACACCATTCATGTCTTTATAAATGCACTTTAGATAATGATGTCTATCACATTCCACCATCATTGCTAACCCCCTGCCCTTTCCTTTCCCCTCCCACTCTTCTGCCCTATCTAGAATTCATCTATTCCTCCCATGCTCCCCCTCCCTACCCCACTATGAGTCAGTCACCTTATATTAGAGAAAACATTGGCCATTTGTTTTTTGGGGGGATTGGCTAACTTCACTTAGCATTATTTTATCCCAACTGCATCCATTTGCCTACAAATGCCATGATTTTATTCTCTTTTAATGCTGAGTAATATTCCATTGTGTATAAATGCCACATTTTTTTAATCCATTCATCTATTGAAGGACATCTAGGTTGGTTCCACAGTTTAGCTATTGTGAATTGTGCTGCTATAAACATTGATGTAGCTGTGTCCCTGTAGTATGCTGTTTTTAAGTTCCTTGGGTATAGACCAAGGAGAGGGATAGCTGTGTCAAATGGTGGTTCTATTCCAAGTTTTCCAAGGAATCTCCATACTGCTTTCCATATTGGCTGCACCAATTTGCAGTCCCACCAGCAGTGTATGAGTGTGCCTTTTCCCCCACATCCTTGCCAACACTTATTGTTATTTGTATTCATAATAGCTGCCATTCTGACTGGAGTGAGATGGTATCTTAGAATAGTTTTGATTTGCATTTTTCTAATTGCTAGATATAATGAACATTTTTTCATATATTTGTTGATTAATTGAATATCCTCTTCTGAGAAGCGTCTGTTCATGTTCTTGGCCCATTTATTGATTGGGTTATTTATTTTTTTGGTGCTTAGCTTTAAAAAATAAATATTTAAAAAAACATAATCAAATGTTTTGGAGAAGGTAGTGTCCTTGATAATTTTCAAATTTTTTTTCTTTCTCATTTACTGGTCTATTTATATTCCCCATAGACTTTATTGGCACAGGTGAGGGAGTGGGTTTCCTTTCAGTGGGATGGACTGGCTGAGAAATAAAAGCTAAGAAAAATAATATGGCAAAATAACCAAAGAACACAGAAAGTATTTTAAGAGGGGGCAGAGACAGGCAAAGCTGACCAGACAAGTCCAGCTTCTAACAAAGAAAGGAGCCTGTGTTTACTTTATTTATATCTGAAGACAACAAAGTAATTCTATGGAAAGTTCTTCACCAAAATAGGTTAGAGGTGCGGGCAGGTAAGCTGCTCAATTCCTAGTGGGTTTCGCCCATCTCGGGTGCTGCACAGGACTTTTCTAGCAGAGTAGAGGGGGAGTTCTTGTGCACCAGGTGGTCCACTCCTGTAGGACTGCCACGGGAAGTTCCCAATGCCAGATCTGCCCCTTCACTGGCTGAAAAAGGTCCTCACGCATTTCACAGATGGCTTCCAGCACTTTACTATTCCAGAGAAATTTCAGATATATTTATTTTATTTGAACTTAAGAGTATTGCTGTAAAGGCAGGTGATATCAGCCCCACATAAAAGATAAAGAATTGAAGTCCTAAAAGGCAGTGTCCTTTACGTTGCATACTTACTTGGTAGTACAGCTATATACCTACTACCAGGACCCTAGACTGAGCCCTGATGACCCTGATGACATTCCTATGGGGGGCACCTTTATAGGTGCCCCCTCTTAAAACTAAGAGGTGTTCACTGTGCCTGTGTCCCTGGAGAGAGAACAGGTTGGCTGGATAGCAATGGGGAGGTTAGCCTGATTCTCTAGCTGGGAAGGAAGGACATGGGCTGTGGCGGTAACCTCCACAGGTACAAAAGATGTACCTCTTAAAACTAATATACCCCTAGAAGAAAGAAAATATGAATACTGATAATCCTAAATGCTTCCTTAAACAAAGGCAAGGCAGATAAACTCTAGGACTCATGATATTCTGGAATGGGCACTCAAACCTCTCTATAAATTACACAACTTAATGACCTTTTATACCCTAAGATGGCATTCATGCCACCCCATGTCCTGTGGGTATGTAAGAAGTGGTAGGATGGGGGAAAAATAATCCACATAGACAGTGCAACAAAATATTTGAGATCACTTTCAAAGCAAAGAAAACACACAATTTCCCCAAACCTTGTGATTTATCTAACTGGTAAACTGAGGATCACTATCCTCCCTCCATTATTTTGAGATCATCGTGTCAGACCTTTCACACTAACCGTCTGCCCAGTGAATAATGACTCATCTAAAGCTTCTTACTCATTGGTTGTTTCCTCAGAGTCTGTCCAATCCCAGGGTTGGAGGAGACTACTTTGCTCCGTGGTCTCTGATATTTCACACAGGAGCTCTGTTCAGTGGGTCCCTGATTCCCTGACTGCTACTTTCTCTCACCAGCCTCTTCCAGCTCTATGATGGTCCTGCAGGCCCCTAAATCCCCCTGGACAACAGCTCTGACGGTGTTACTGATGGTGCTGAGCCACCCCATGGTCCAGGGCAGGGCCACTCCAGGTAAGAGCAAAGTGGTTATTCCTGGAGGGCCTGGCTCAAGGAACCATTCCCCCTTCAGGGGACCAGACTTCAAGAAAGGACATGGAGGTTCCCACCACAGCCCATGTCCTTCTTCCCAGCTAGAGAATCAGGCTAATCTCCCCATTGCTACCCAGCCAACCCATTGTCTCTCCAGGGTCACAGGCACAGTGTACAGGGGAGCAATGCCAAAGGAGAAGTATGTTGTAGAAGATGGGCCAGGGGGTCTGGAATAACTTAGGAGGGACAAGGTTTCCAGAGAGAGCATTCAGCAGGCTCAGCCTCCTGTGTATTCTCATATTGCATCACAGCCTTTAGGGGACCCAGATCACCCTGCAATTCAGTGCTTAAGGAGACAGCCTTACTCTCCCTAGGGTAGGGTAAAAGCCAAGAGACCATTGGAAGGTGATAGCAAGATTAAGAGAAAGGGAATGGGGCCAGCTATGGTTCTACCACCATAACATTCTTGTTGAAGGAAATTAATGAAAACTTCCAAGAGCTTGATTAAAGTACAAGAGTGAATTGAGATTTGTAGGAAGAATGAAAGGAGGATGTGTAGGTATGTAAGAAAGGATTACTGCAGAATACCTGACAATCAAGAAAGGAGCAACTAATGCAAAAACCTCTTCCTCACACTGCCTCCCTCTGCCTAGTGTAGTATTATGGCTTCTGTGATCCAGTTTTCTCAGGATGCTTCTTAACTCTCTCATCCAAATTTATACCCTACTACAGGAGGAAAGGCTATGAAGGAGCTATCTTAATTTTCCACTGATTTCCACATTTTCCTTTACAGGAGCCTTCTTTTAGAATCTTTCTAAGATATATTGTCCTCATTTCTAGGGGTAGCCATATTTGAATCCCCTGAGTCCAGCCCCTTTAACCCCAGGATCCTCTCCTATTACATCATGTCCACTTGCTGAGAAGTGAGGCAGAACTTGCTTTTGTTAGTCACTTTTTTGTGAGTACCAATTGAAAGGACAGCTCTGCTATGGAAAACTTACCTTCAAAATCCTGCCTCTAGAAACAATGGAGTCCACCCTCATAGGTCTCTGGTGATTGTGGTGCTTTTCAATGATTTAAGTAGGTTCCACACTGTGATCTTTCCATAGAAATCAAGTCTTTTGAAATTAGGTCTTTGAAATCAGGTCATAGCCATGTTTGAAAAGTAAAAACATACATTAACTTTCATGAAAGGAAGGCTTTCTTATATGAATATTTAAGAAAGTTTTAAGGAAATTATTTATACATTTCCAGCATGCAAAGCAAAAATAGATCAAGATATATACAAGATAGTGACACAGAGGAAAAGAGCACTTGGTTATGGAAGAAAAGGAAATAATGGAAGATTTTGTAGAACAGGTCACATGTGAGTCAAGGGTGTCTCCAGGATGGCAGGGTCAGGCAGGGGGCACCAACAGGGAGAGCAGCACCACTCTCCATTCCCCAGCTCCTTCTGCCCCTGCAGTTTCTCTTCCTGAAGGGCTTTATGTCCTAGTGAGGTTCTGCTCCTTCCTGTGACCTCAGGTGAACTACTGCTCCTGCCCCATCTGCTGCAGAATGGATGACCTTCTCAGTATGCCCGCACCTCCCCAAAGATCACTAAGTCACCCCTCTAGCAGTGAGTCACAGTTTATTCAGTGAACCCTCTGGTCACGGATAGGAAATCACAGAGGCCTGGGTGACCCGCTTAAGACCCCAGAACTCGCTGTTAGAAAAAAGAAATACTATTTTAAGATTCAACGCTGAGTGGGAAGAAGAGTTACCACCTTGTACATTAGCGGCAATCCTTGAAGAGGAGTGAGGGGGCTCGGGAACACGGAGCGCCGGGGTGTCCCTGCGACACTGGGCCCTGCGGGCTGGCGGGCGGGATCCTGGAGTCAGCGCTGACGGAAGCCGAGGGGCGAGAGGGCGGGTGCTGGGCTTGACCGAGAGTCTGAGGAGGGGTCTGGGGAGGGAGTCGTGAGGTGGCCGAGGTCGCATCCGCAGGGAGTCGCGGCCGGGCTCAGCGCGGTCCTGCTCCCGGCAGAGAATTACGTCCTCCTGGCACTGCAGGAGTGCTACGCCTTCAACGGGACGCAGCGCTTGGTGGAGAGACACATCTACAACCGGGAGGAGTTCGTGCGCTTCGACAGCGACGTGGGGGAGTTCCGCGCGGTGAGCGAGCTGGGGCGGTCGACAGCCAAGTACTGGAACAGCCAGAAGGACATCCTGGAGCGGAAGCGGGCCGCGGTGGACACAATGTGCAGACACAACTACGAGCTGGACGAGGGCTTCACCCTGAAGCGCCGAGGTGAGACCAAGGGCGGGGCTCGTGGCTGCCGCTGGGCTTCGAGCGCCGTGGGGATGCGGGGCGGGGAGGGGCGCGGTGAAGGGGTTTGGGTGCTGGGGATCATGCGGGTGAGTCAGCCTTCTCATGGAGCCAGGGCAAGGACGTGAACTGTGCTGAGCATGGAAAGAGGGAGGGCTGGGTGGAGAGAGAAACACACCATCAGGGCTTATCAGGCCTGCCCACTGACTGTGGGGCAGTGAGGAGGGAGAGATGCTGCCCTCCAAGTGCTGCAGGCCACGCAGAGAAGAAACTCTCTTGGAGGAGATGGTTGGGTTGGACAGCTTCAGGGGTTTGGGCAGATCTCTCATGGACGGGTATAGTAGGGATTCGAAGCTGGGGTGGAGGGTCTGGGCTGGGCAAAATCATCTAAGGAGGAAGGCGGGATCCAAGAAAGCAAGCAAAGGGCTGATACCCAGGGCTGTGGACAATTGTGATGTTGGCTAAGAGAAAAATCTGGGAAGACCAGAAAGTAAAGAGTAAGTATTATAAGAATTGGGCAGAGAAGAGTCACAGTCGCTGAAGTAGAGAGGGAGATGGGAACTGTACAGTTGTACCAATGACTTCAGAAGATAAGTAAATAGAAGTTGAAAGGTGGGCTTGGAAACCAGAGAAAACAGGTTGTCTGCAGGAGTAGGACCAGGAGCTGGACCACATGGGCTGAGAATTAAGGGTGGGGACCCAGGCTGAGCATAAACCATAAGTTCTTCCAGGAGGAGATGGCATTTTGTCTTGGACTCTTATTGGTTCAGGGAGCCTGAGTGTGAAGGGGAGAAGAGAGGTGAGGTTTGTGCAGAGCCTCAGGACTTTTCAAGGATGAGAGAGGAGAGCATGAGCTTCCTCTTACCATCAGCTTGTGGATTGGGGGACCCCTATGCACCAACCTGAGAAGACCTGAGGGAATAGCACTGAGGGGTGAAGAGATGAGCCTTCCACAAAACTAGAGAATCCTTCTCACAGAGAAAGGGGAAGGATGATAAGTGGAAGAAGGCAGAAGCTGTGGGAGGGCTCACCTTTGATCCCTCTTCTTTTGGAAAGTGGAAGGAATCAGAGTGTGGACAAATTGTATAAGAATTAAGAGAGTGCCATGAGTTTAGGAAAGTTACCAAAGTAATTAGGTGAGAAAATCCAAAGAGAAGAAATAGGACTGTCAACAACTGTAAGGCCTGATACAAACTTGTAGGATACAAATATAAATAATCCATTGCCAGATTGCCCTGGTGTCAGCCTGAGTAATTTGGGTTAATCACTTGGGCCAGTGGGGTCCCAAACTAGTTCTGCTAAGCAAAATCTCCTAGAGATCTTTTTTAAACACACATGCCCCCAGAGACACTGCCCAGAGATTCACATTTAGTAGGTAGCGAAGTCAGGGAATCTGTATTTTTAGTTAGCTTTCCCAGTGATTCCCATGTAACCGGGTAAGTGTTACCTGAAAATCCTGAGGGTTTTCTTTTTAAATAGTAAATGACGGAGTCATAGTTTTGTATTCAGAGAGTGTTAAATGGGTTGAAAAGAGGAATGACTTCAATCAGAGCGGGAGTAAGAAAATATTATTATTGTCTAGGGAATAGTAATTAGGGCATGAATTATAAGGGGAAAGAAAATAGAAGAAGGGGAGAAAGAGCTGCAGAATTTCCTAACATAATTCTAGAAGCAAATAAGCAGATGTTTCATAGGCATTCAACAAGACAGTCTTTCACTTACATGGAAGTCTTCGCCTTTGTGAGATGTATTTTGAACTGGATGAGAAACTGAAGTGCTGGACCTATAGACTTAGCTCCATCTCCCCCTAGAGATCAGTTTTATACTCCAGGCAAAGTTCCTGTGGAACGTTCTGGGCCTCAAAGTAAATTTCTGTGTAGAGCTTGATTTGCATGAGACCCAGAGAAATTTAATTATTTCACAAACTGTGACTCAGACAGGAATTGAACTGTCTAATGAACTGTGAGTTTATAAAGGTGGTAGAAGTAAAATGGTAATCTTACAAGTGTCACGAGTATAAAAAGGCTGCAGTGTGAACTAGTCTGTGTTGCTATAGGAAACAACATTCTAGGTAAATTGCAAAAATATGCCTTTACCTGACCCTGTCCCATCTCAAGGTATTTGTTTGCTCTGGGAAGTATAAATTAGAGAAGAAAGAAATAACTTTTTAAATACCTGGAAGGTCTTGGGTGGGAAATTCTTCTTAATAGGTTTTCTCCAGAGGCAGCTGGATTTTTTCTGGTTTAAGGAGGGAAGGAAGATAATGGTGACAGATGTCTAGAAGTAGTAAGTATCAAGAGGGTTTAGGAGGAAATAGGAACAGAATTCAAACTGATGTGGGCAATATGGATAAGGAAAAAACAAGGAGAAGAAGGTACATCAAACAGAACCAAACAGAGACATGCAGAGACACAGGCTGAACCTATATCTATGGGCTCCTCAAGCAACAGAAAGACACTTAAAAGGAGAAATTTGGCAATGGAATTCCTATTAATTCAGCAAAAGGGGCTCAGAATGTTGGGTTTGAGGATATTACTCTAAATATCTTGAGTTTTTGTAGGTAGGAAATGGCATAAAATATATAGACTATTTGAAAAATAAGTCATTGTCAAACTCGTTCTGTTTAATTTTAATTTTTTATGACATAAAATTATTAGGTCAAAAGAGAAAGAGAATGCCACATATATCTTAACTTCAAAAAGTTATCTGAGTGAATTTTGTGTTCTTTTCATCAAGATAGAACATTGAAAAGATAGATAATTTCATAGTTGGAGAAATATTCTTTATCCAAACACTATTATTAATCAATGGCTTATAGTTAAAATTTCTACTAAATGTGCCACAAAGTGTAATGGAGATTTGTGTGGGGTTCTCAGCTTTTGGATTCTCTCAGGAGGCAATTTTAAGCAAAATATGAAAGGTAGTAAAACTATAGCAAAGTTTATTAAAGAGAAGAAGGCACAAGCACTCCCAAGGGAGCGGGGATCCTCTCAAAGAGGAGAATTACAACTCATTTCTTTTTGAGCTTCATTTTATTGGATATGTAGGAGGATTCTTAGAAAGTCCCCCCCAAATATCATCTCTCACTCTGGACTGACAGACCACATTAGATTTTTTAAACCTCTGATTCATATTACAATGATATTATAGTACTACAAGCCAAGGTCAACTCTTGGTCATCCTGGCCTGTCTGACAGGTCCGGATTGGAACGTGTTTGACAGAATTTATAATCACTGGGCTCTGAACTTAATCATCCTGCTTTCTTAGGTCTGGGAATCTCTGACCTGGGTTGTGCTTTTTTTTTTTTTTTTTCCCGATATTGCTTAAGGTATCTTAGCAATTAAACCTTTTTGAGCAAACAAATCCTTGGTTCCTACCCACCCTGAATATATCTACCTTCCTCCTGTTGTAAAATGAATAGTTTATAGGATTGAAATCAGGCAAGGGTAATAAAATAGCTAACTTATCATCCCTTGTGGTACCACTGAGGCAGGGCCGTTAATGAACTGATTGGATCTGCCCTACATGTTGTCTTAAACCCTGACCCACCGCTCATGTCTGTTACCTAACAAGCACTGCTTTTGTCTTGCTCCTAATATTCTCAGTCCTTGATATGTAATTTAAAAACTTGTATATTCCCTTCAAAAGTCTGCCAAGGTCCAGTCCCATCGTGGGGGTGGGGTTCCAGGGGTCCTGAAGGAGGAGTGGCGTTAACGAAAGAAGAAGAGTCCAGACAACAGGTTGCAAGTTACAAGCAGCCTCCATCTCTCTGCCCCTGGAGGGACCTTTATTTTTATACCTTTTTACAGTGTTTTTTTAGGTAGTTAATGGATAGTTTCAAAGCCTGAAACTTTTTTGATTTACATAATTTTCAGGAGTTAGTCTTTTCTGACATACGTTGATTACCTAAGATATTGAGTACATTGTTCAAAATAGTTTTCTGTAACCTTAGACAATCATGATTAAGCTTTTAGGTTTTTACCTCAATCACTAAGTGCTAGGCGACACAACTAGACTACATGACTCCTGACCTATTATTCACTTCTAACTTTAAACCATACCTATAATTATTTCATTAATCTTTAACTTTAAAGCATACTTATAATTCTTGGAAAGCTTTCTTACTTCTAAACAGAAATCCCAGTAAAACACACTTAAAGTAGTGAAAGTATATTATTTAAAAGCCTACTACTCTGAAGTGTCTCTAAAATATGTCTATGTTAATTTTACCTTATTCTATTTTCAATTTCCAAGGTAATTTCCTTTTTTCATATGACCTATTTGACTGCTTTCTTAAAGAACTTCCTTGATCCTTGGTCAAAGCACACCAATTCTTAGGTCTTTGTAATATTTAACTAAAGGGCAGGCTTTACATCTCAACTCATTTATCATTTATATTAACTATGTGTTTTCCATTTTCATCATAAGTTTCTGCATAAAACAAAGGACGGTCTATTGGTTGTGGAATGTATTTTTATTAGCCTCTTGACCTCGAGAGGATACCATAAGCTACATTCGGTGGTCCTTGTACTGTTGGCACAGCAATTGTTTTTCTGTATCGAGGCTGTTGTACAGGTTGTGGCTTCCGGATGGGGTTGGGGGGGGGGGGATAGTATAAATTGTTAACCATGGGATAAATATTTCTTGTTGTTCAGGCTTGAGGAATAACACCATTGTTTGTATCCTGAGAGACATTGAAATGCACCTCATGGCATGTCTCAATTATATTCTTAGTCTCATTCTGGGAATTTTCCTGCAATCTCAGGCAATATGTACTTTTATTATTGATTGACGTAGCTCTGTTATCCATATCATGAGTATCATAAACAAAACACTTAACATTCCTCATACTTCAGGTTTCCAGATGATGCGGCCTTGCCTCAGCATCCCGCACGCTGTGACCCTGTCAGACAGCAGGTGCAGGAATGCCTTCACCAAAAGTCTGTTTCCGTCTTTTCAGTGCAACTAGCCTAATAATGACATTTGTATCTTTTTTAAAAAAATTTTTTTTAGTTGTTGATAGACATTTATTTATTTATGTATATGTGGTGCTGAGAATCGAACCCAGTGCTTCACCCATGCCAGGCAAGTGTGCTACCACTGAGCCCCAGCCCATACATTTATATCTTAAACATCTAGAAAACACTTCCTTAATGAAAGCATCTAAGAAATTATAATCTCCGTTGTCACTCCTTCTTTTCCTTCCACTCTAGTCCAGCCTAAAGTTCATGTGTCTCCCACCAAGAAGGGGACCCTGCAGCATCACAACATGCTTGTCTGCCACGTGACAGATTTCTACCCAGGCAACATTRAAGTCCGATGGTTCCTGAATGGACAGGAGGAAACAGCTGGGGTTGTGGCCACCGAACTGATACGAAATGGAGACTGGACCTTCCAGATCCTGGTGATGTTGGAGACAACTCCCAAACAGGGAGATGTCTACACTTGCCACGTGGAGCACCCCAGCCTGAACAGCCCAGTCACTGTGGAGTGGAGTGAGTTACCCCCTAACAGCCCTTCTAGATCCCACATTATGAACAGTAGCTCCAAGGTCCAAGCATCTTATCTTACATGTCTGTACTCTGGGACCACTTTTACCACCATGTGTTTTCTATACAAGCCCCTGAGGGCAGTTCTGAACTGGAGACAGTGGAAACTAGCCTGTCTCTGGCCTAGGGGATCCTGAGGATTGAGGATCTCCCCTTTGTCAGAAAACCTAGGGAATCAGACGTTTTCCTGAATTGCCCTCATACATGGGAACTGTTTTTCTTCCACCTTTTCCCCCTGGTCTGTGTTATGTTAAATGGCAGCTGCCAGAATCAGCATCTGTTCTCTTGTTGAATTCACCAGCCTAAGTCCAGAACTGGGGTGGGGGGTCCTTTCTAAATTTACTTCTCAGTGGACACCCTCACTGTTTTCATGGTAAGGCGAGATTGCAGTAAATCACTGAGTTGATCTTAAAGCAAGAGACAGAAACTTTATTCACCAGCTGGTGGTAAGGATCCACCAGCTGGCGGACCAAGGAATAGGCTGCAAGTCTCCACCCTTCAACCCCCTCCCGGAGTTTGAGTATTCCTTATAGTGAAAAACCATTTTAAAGCATAAGTGGCTGTTGCTATGATTCAAAACCATAAGCAAACATCATGAGATCTAAAATCATAAGCAGAAAAGGGAGTGGGCCAAAACGTCCCTAGTTGATTACAAGTTAAAGAATGGTTACTAACATCTAGACAATCTATCTCTGACAGGGGACATTGTCCAAGAAAAACGGGAATCAAAAAGAGAGAACACTTTTACACTGTAGAAGAATTGCCATTTTGTGTTGCCAAACACGCTATGCTAAGCCACTGTTGATGGGTACAGAGGTGGTGTGTTCCCTGAGAGAAGCATTTCTCACATGACATGGAGTCTCAGGGCAAAATGGAGTCTGTTTGGTCCTCACCCATGTAGCCTGGCCCATAACACTCCTGCTGACCTCCTGCTCCAGCTCCAGGATCTCAGACAAGACCCAGGAAGGGATGCAGTTGGAGGCCCTGAAACTAATCCTGGATTCTGTTCTTCCCAGAGGCACAGTCTGACTCTGCCCGGAACAAGACCCTCACTGGGGTCGGGGGCTTCGTGCTGGGGCTCATCTTCCTTGTAGTGGGCGTCTTCATGCACAAGAGAAGCAAGAAAGGTAAGAAAGCCAGGGGGAGACGGAGGCTTGCCTTCCTGGCTTCCTCATCTGCATGATGAGGGACTGAGCAGGAGAACAGTGCTGGAGAGTTCTGGAAGCCACTGAAATCAGATCCTCAAAGCAAAGATGGCCTGTAGGGAGGGAGGAAAGCCCAGATGACAAGGTCTGGTGCTCAAGCTCATGTGGGGTC